CATCAGTTTGTCAACTTAATTTACAAGGTTTTTGGTACAATGAAGAAGATTGTCTTCGATTGTGTCATTCATCACTTGGTATTCAATGTAAAGTACTTATGATTCAAGTAAAAAATCGTCAAAGTATTAGTATTCTTGTTAACAATATGAACCATCTTCAAGCATTGCATGTTGAATGTAAAGATGATCAATACTCGAAACAGTTGTTATCAGGAGAAAATGTTGATGAATCAAACAAAGATGAACTTATTCAATGGTTAATCGATCATTTCCCATCATGCTATTTTATTGTTAGAGATTCAGATCCTCTTAATTGTATTCAAATATGGATTCAATAATGACAAGGCCAACAATACCTATTCATTTATTTAGATTAATTTACTCGACTAAAATCATATTCTTGATGTTTAAAATGTTTCTACTCATAAAAATAAAGTTACATATAAAAAAAACTCTGTTACTATTTGTGGCAATTGTTATAATCTTAATTATTTCCCAATAGATTGTTTTGATCAATAAAATAAGCAAAAAAATTACGACACTTCTACAATTTTATTCTTTTTTATATTCATTAGTGATTGTGCTGATAAAGTTGCCATCGACTTGGGGTGTGGGTGTGGGTGGGTGTGAGAGTGTGTGTGAACGAAGATTAGATCAACAGGCACAGTCACACCCTCACCCACACCCCCACACCCCCACACCCACCGACACCCCACACCCCCACCCCCACACCCCCACACCCCAACACCCACACCCACCCCAGCCACCCACACCCTCTATTTTTGTTCATAATAATGACAGTGAGATATACAGTCGGGACCAGAAAAAAGCGTTCACATTCTGAATGACAGGGTGATCATATAGAAGGGGGCAAAAACCAGCAAAAATCGCTCGGTGGGACCGGAGGGTGTTCGGTATAACAGGTTGATCACACAAGAGGGGTGTTCACTAATAGAAGTTTTACTGTATATGCGATTTAAATTCGTCAACATTAAATTAATATGGGATCTAAATTGAATTTATATTACTTTAAACTGGATTTATATAAACTCAAAAATTTATATTTATGTAAATCTAATTTAAATTTAGAATAAATCTAACTTTTTTAAAATTAACATTTAAAATAAGTTTAAATCGTCATGACTGAAAAGTTAAATTTATTTTCGATTTCAATTCGCAAAAATTTAAATTTAAATAAATTAACAGGAAATGGACACCCCATAATTCGAACTGGAAGCTAAAACTTGGAAATAAAACTCTCACCATCATATTTTATAGCAAGTACATCGACTTTTCGAGATTGATATAAATTAGCTATACAGATGAAATCTGCTTTTTCATCTTAATTTTAAAAAAAAGTTAATAACAAATCTAGCACAAAAATGTAAATATTTATTTTTCTTGATTCAGGCAGTTGCCCAAGTAGAACAAGAAAATAAATTATTTGGTGTAGGCTAAATTGAGAGATCTACAAGAAAGAAATCAATAGAGATATAAACAGAATAATCAATCGTTCATAGTCAAGTTGAAGACAATATCTATTGAGTCTTTCGCAAACATATGCTTCTGACTTCAAGATATCATAAAATCACCATTTTCAGTAGGGAAAATTCTTGAGCACAAACAACAACTTCGTAATGATAAACTGGCAAAAATCCGATCCTGTCTGGCCCGGTTTAACTTCTGTTCGGTTTGGTCCGATCCGGCTCTACCGACTCCAACTCTGAAACAAGCACGCCTCGCTTACAATACACATTCAAGAAAAAATCATATTCTTTTCATCTATTCGATTACTTTGTAATATTGTCATTGACATTATTGGTGATTGATCATGAGTATGAATTAGTATTTTTTTCAGGATAATGGGCAATTCAGCTCACAACTGCATAGACGATGATTATCAATACATTTGTATCATTCCAACAACGAAATCGTCTATCCGATTCATTTAGATGTTTGACACGACAATATTCTCGTTCATCTATCTGTCCTAAACGATTGATTCGTTTATCAACTGAACGTTTCACTGGTAAACAACCTTGAAATAGTGTTAAACAATCAAATTTACCATTCTTGTCGAATGAACAATTTTTCATAGTATTATTAATAAGAAGACAATGATGTTCATTATTGTTACATTGATAAGAATATAATACTTAGGTAAGAACAACTGAGTTCATCAGTACCGTTTGGACAATTTCATATTCGATTACAATGTGTCTAGTGCATATGACATGGCCAATAGTCACAATTTGTTTCATTAGTTTCGTTTGGATTATCAAATTCAATTGGAGACGTTTTTGTAAAGTCATGACAAACTTTCGAAAACATAATTCCTTCATGATTATCACATTTTATATGTAAAATACCACCATTTACAACTAATTTATCTTCACAAGACTAATTATAATATTAATTTTATTTAGAATTTCATTGTATTGAATCATCTAGATTATCATCAGCATTTTTATTATTAGAAATGATGTATATAAACTAATAAAATAAAATTTACAAAAAAATAATTTGACATTTGATTATTTGTCGTATATTACGTAATATCGTCTGAATTTCCAATATTTTCTTCATGAACAATCGTTTGTCTTGAGATGTATTTCCTAACACTTGTAATGTTATTTTCTTCAATTGAGAACATCTATTTAGAA